AATGTGATAAATGTCTACTTTAATTCAGAATTTTTCTTAAATTTCAAACTTCCATTTGAACTTGAATTTAAAAACTGATCTCAAAAATTAAACAGTATATTTTCCCCCTTAGAGAAAGGGGAGACTTTTATCATGCTTTATCTCTTCCTTCTCTCTCCCTTCCCATACTTTGTTCTCATTTAAATATTTTATTTCCAGTCAGGCACAGTGGCTCACATCTGTAATCCCAGCACTTTTGAAGGCGGAGACGAGAGGATTGCCTGAGCTCAGGGGTTCAAGACCAGCCTGAGCAACATGGTGAGACCTCATCTCTACAAAAATTCAAAAAATTAGCCGGGTGTGGTGGCACATACGGTTCCAGTCACTTGGAAGGCTGAGGCGGAATGATCGCCTGACCCCAGCAGGTTGAGGCTTTGGGGGCCGTGAGCATGCCACTGCACTCTGGCCTGGGTGGCAGAGAGAGACTTTGACTCCAAAAAAAAAATTTTCCTTGTCTCTTATATTCCAAGACTCCCTATGAATATTTATATTGAATATCACAGCCACATTATCAATAATTACTTAAATAAAATTTTTAGCACCACATCTTAAAGTCATGCGCATTCCTTCCCATATTGCCGAACATTTACATATTTTATTTTTTCTATTATAAATCATAGTTTGTTGTTTCTCTTACAAATCACCTTTTTTTCATATAAAGCTTTTTACCACATCAGAAGAAACACTTAACAGGTATATAATTATGTCTGGGGTTAACATTTTCTAAGCCTTAATGTTATTCTAGACTTATTTAGGCATCTATACATAAATATTTAAAACATAAAGAAGGTGATGTAATATAACATTCATTGCTTATTTATTTATTTTTAGGGATGGTGTCTTGCTCTGTTGCTCAGGCTGGAGCATAGTGGTGGGATCATGGGTCGTGGCAGCCTCAAAATCCTAGGCTCAAGGGTCCTCCCACATCCGCCTCCAGCTAGAGTACCCCATTCTTGCTGCACTTGTGTTGTCTCCGAGGAAACAGAAGCTTCAGGTCCTAGGCACAAATCTCTCTCTTCTCCTTTCCTGGATAGGGTTTCCCTCTTCCAGTGGCTGAGTTGCCTCAGCAACCAGTTGGAAGTGGGACTTTAGGGAGGCCACTAGAGGTCAGATCTTCCTGGGACCCGTTTCTCGATTTTGATTTTTTTCTTGATGGTGAGTTGTGATATCCACGCCTCTACCATAGCACAAGTAGAACAGCTATTCCGTGTGGCTGATCTCACCTGCCTTTGAAGTCCAGTCACTTTTCCAGGAGTGCTACATTTTAACTCTCTCTGGGAAGGTAGGGGGCAAAACTCCCACACTTCCAAGAGGTAACACGTCCCCAGTTACCTTCCTGACAGGGAGTCTCTCCACCAGAGCAAAAATTTGCCCTTGACCTGGATTTTGACAGTGGGAGGATGGGACTGAGCACCTGCTTGGTCACCTGTGTGGTCTTCAACCTTGGGACCTAGGTTGGGATGGCTTCCTGTGCTGGGTTTCTCCCTACTGTGGCATTCTCAGGCATCTTTTGGTTGGCACCCTTCTTGTCCTCTGACAGCAGCCTAGGGTCCAGGCAGGGCCTTCAGATGCTGGGTGGAGTTGACAGATGAGCACTGCAGGCCTATAAGGAGGTGCAGGTGGGGGAGTCATCACCATCCTCTGAAGGTTTGTGGGCCCTAAACTTAACCAAGAGGCAGAGCCTGAGGCTGGGGCAGTGGAAGGGCAGTGTCTAGAAAGCCCTTCCCCAGTCTGAGGGCTACCTTAAGGCATGGGGCCCACCCCACCCTCTCGCTGTCATCTAATCGTTCTAGGGGGAGCAGGGAGGAGACTAGACCAGGTGCGTTATTTGAGGCTCAGCAGAGTCCAGGCTGGGTGCCAGGGATACTCCTTGGCCATCTCCTTGCTGCCTGGGTCAGGGAGGAATCCTCAAGCCTGCTGTATCTAGAGGAAGGGGACAACACACTATGCTTTCTGAGGGCCCTGCCTTTGTCCCAGGGACCCCAGGCTCTTCTCTGTCTCTGGGCTCCCCCAGCACCGGCCTCAAGACTCACTCCTGAGACAGGCTTAAGTGGGAAGCAGAGGGAGGAGCCTTGGTTTACCAAGCGCTCACACCCAGCCAAAGTGCCTACACGCCAGTCCGAGCCCAAGCAAGGAGGTGGCAGCTGGACTGTGGTCTCCAGGGCAGTCATCAGCTCAGATAAGGGAAGGCCAGGGGCTGGGAGGAGGACACCCAGCTGGTAGAGAGCCTGGGGCTGCATGGGTGGGTTCTGAAGGTGCTGTTGAGGCAGTATCTGGAGTAGAGGTAGGCTGGGCTCAGGCTCCCCCGGGGCATGGTGAGAGTCACATTTGGGCAGTTAAGATAGTCTGGATGGACGAAGGGGGGCCAGAAGGTCCTAGAAGGTCTAGGTGGGCTGAAATAAGCCTGACCATAAAGAGGGAACTATAACTGTGGGTTTTCTTTGTTCCAATCATTTTTTTCCCTCTTAACTCGAAAGTCCTGTCCCAATCTCTGTTGAGCTGGGGGTCAGGAAAGTCCAGATGCTGCTGGAGGAGGTGCGAGGGAAACTCAGCACCCCACTCCATGCAAACCTCCACACTTGCAATGACAATGCCTGCTGCTGGAACCCACACCCCAGGGGCTCCCTCCTCTGCTAAGAGACCACCATGAGGCATGTCTCCCTGCCCCTCCCCTGCGGGCACATAGTGGAACTGTACTCTCCGGTTTCTGGTAATTTCATCAGGGCTGCATCACATTGCTGAAGCTAGAGATAACATCTCCCCATAGGTAACCCTTCCCTGCCAGAGCCCCCTGAGGCTGGGTCCAGGCTCAGAGGAGGGGCCCTGGGGTGTGAGATGGATCTGGGGCGTGAGGGTCTGTCAGGCAGAAGCAGATTGGCTGGAACGCTGGCAGCATTCAGGAACACTGCCAATCCACACTGGGGCCCAGGGGGAAGAAGAGGGCTCGGAGTTGGTGCGGTGCAGAAACTCCATGTTCCTGGTGCTGCTGTGGGCCACACTGCCCCCCATGCCTCCAGAGGAGCCTCACCGACTCCCCCAGCCTGTGTGTAGGTAGAGACCCCACCTGCCCAAGGCCCAGAGGGCAGGTCCACCTTAACTGGGCAGCCCTGGGGCGGAGCGCCCGCTGGTGCCCTCTGTGCAGAAGCAGCCCAGGCCTCTGTGCCGGGCGCTACTGCCAGCCTGCAGCCCAGCACCATGGTCCAGGGCACTCTGGAGCCAGAGGGGCCCCTCTGGGGCTGGGATGGGAATGGTGACGATGACTGGGATGGTGCTGTGCTGGCCTTGCTGGCGCTGGCTGTGGTGGCTGCCACGGCGCTGGCTTTGCACTGGTTTGGCTCCGGGCAAGACCAGGAGGCAGCAGGACCAGCGTGCACAGCTCCAGCGGCCCAGCCTCCACGGGCGGGAGGAGCCCATCCGGCCCCGCACCCACAGCCCAAGGTTAGTGTCGGCAGCGAGGGGCAGAGCCCAGGGCTGGGGAGGCCAGGCCCTCCAGGACGCGGCCAGGGCAGTCCTGCTGCAGCAGGAGGCGGAGGCCAGGCCCCCACAGACAGGCCTCCCCTCAAGACGGCCAGGGAGGTGGCCAGCAGAGGGGCCTCGGGACCGCAGCACGGCAGTGCCACCCCCGGAGCTCCCCGAGGTGAAGGAAAGGAGTCTCCCAGGGCAGGCACAGCCCTCCTGGGCAACAGCAAAGCCGGGGGGCCCCCCGTGCCACTCCTCATCCACTTCACCCCTCGGAGCGAAGCCGAGGCGCAGGCGGAGGCAGGCAGCGTCCGCACAGAGCAACAGGACACCGGCGGCCGGCAGCCAGGCGCGG